AGTTATAAATATGTGAGTGGTCTTCTGGGTATGATGGCTCCCAGGCGAAAACACAAAGCCAAGACAGTACAGAGAGAAGGAAATGAAGGAATGGTGTGAAAAATAACATAAGGTTGAATCTTGCTGGGAGCAGATTTGAGTAAGAGTACTTTTGGTGATCAAGTTTATATTTTCTTCTCTGATACTCACTCTTGAAAGACCACTCTGACTTATATGATGCTTTTTAAAACCATGGTTAACTTTTTGAATTAACACTTTTCAGCTAAACAGTAAGAGCTGGAGAAAGAAACTCATATTTTGGAAACTGTGAAGCTGTTGTATATGTAGGGAGAAAGGAAAACAACACAGTTCTGTCCCCATCAGGAAACAGATACAGGCAGACACGTACTGCAGTGCATGGGAACTTGCAATCTCATAGCAGTCTCCCTCAGCAATATTTCTATTTCTCCTCTCTCCTTTGTCTGCAGTGACCACAGGGCTACTTGTTCTCACGATGCTCATTTCTCCTCTGCCTCTTGAAGCACAATTCTGATGGCTGATACACATCTCACCCACTATCTCTAAGCTGGGACTGCCTTTTGTAACCTAACTGTCATGGTGCCTTCTTCTCCTTGCTAACATTTACTGGCCCAGTTATAAAGGTCAGTGAGCAAATAGAGGTTTTCCTTATATCAAGCAGGGGAGGTCATGCATTAAGATCCATATTGAGGTGCAACGTCTGCTGTCTGGCAGTTCAACCACGGGCACATTAAAACACTAAAGTCTTCCTTTGCTGACATGACTTTAAATGGAGATACATTCTCATCTTGAAAGACTCAAGGTTCTTAAATTCAGTGTCAAAGATCCTATTAATTTGAAGGGACTGGTTTTCTGCCTTGGCACTAGAAATGTATGACTTTAAGGATGGGCAGAAATATAGGCCAGGATAGAAACAGGGAGGGGAAGGGTCACAGATGTCAGTCATTCACCTTGGTTGTTTAAATGTCAGAGAAACGTGCTATATTCCTTAAGGTGCAACCTCCCTCAAGGTGAAATTAGCACATATATATATTCATTAGTTCTGTTGAGTATAAGAATCTTCTTCACATTTTATCTTTTTCTTTAATATTAAAAATAAAAATAAAATAAAATGACAGCAGTATTAGATTCACAAGGCATAAGTTTGTTGGCTGTGCTTTGAACCCTTGTTTAGGATTGCTGGATTTTAAACTGAGCATCATGAAATAAAAAAACAGAGCCATTTTGAAACAGAATATTCAAAAATTGTTTGTATGTTTAAATATAAAGATGAATTTTATCATTGAATTCAATGCGACTACTTGAATCAGTAAATTCAGAAGGCGTGATTTCATCAGATTAGATTCTCAGACTGAACATTGTGAAGCAAGGATTTCTCTTCACCATACTTGTCTACAAAGAAACAGTTTTTGATCATTCTATAAATAAAATGTATCATAAAAATGAACCTACTTCTTAAAGAACTCATAAATAACTTATTATTCAACAGGAAAATGAGGAAGTGGGGAATTTAAAGCACTTGAGATAAGATCAATTTGCTTCCAGTAAAATGATATATCACAGTGCCCCTTAGAAAGATCTAATAAATTCTTGTAATGTGATCATCTCCACAGAGGAGGTTCAGGTTTTTCAGCTTGATCACAATAGCTATTCCATAAAGAGCAGGTAATGAAACAAACACATGACCTCTAACTCCAGTCTTGTGATTGTTCATGTAAACACGCACTGCATATTTGGTAAGAATGCTGAGGCAGGGGAGAATGAGATGTCAAAAAGATGGAATGAGTGAAATGATCCTCATGCTAGGAAGACAAGTCTCTTAATTGCAGTAAAGAACTCCTCTCTTTTCTTATAATACTTGCAAATTATGGTCTGCAATTAAAGATGCACAGTAACTGATCAGTCTGAACGTAAGAGCAATCAGAGGGGTTTGCTTTGTTTTTGTGTTAGTTAGGTGCAAGCCACTTGGTAAAAAGAAAAATTAGAGAGAATCCTAAAATCTGACGTAGGTGTATGTATGAGGCAGAAAATATATTAATTCTACTTCAGAACACTTCATGTTGATGGACTTCCATTTATTGCTGATCTCTTTGGACATGGTTTAGTGGGAGCTATTGGGAATAGGTGAACGCTTGGACTGGATGATCTTTTAGGTCTTTTCCAACCTTGGTGATTCTATGATTCTATGATTCCAGTCTTACAGCTTTGCTTTGCCCAGAGAAGAAATTTCCATCTTTAATGAGCGTCTCAAAAATCAGTCCGAATCAATATTATGTTTTGTAGCAGAGCAAAATGTGCTAAATAACATAGTTTTGTGACTTGATGAGTAGATAATCTACTTATACAGACAGCAATGTCTAAACCTTCTGGATTTTCACCTTAAGGAGTAACAGGCTACCACTCCAGATCACAGGAAAAATAAACCATAAGAATCAGCATGGGATACCTACACCATACTTCAAGATATATGCACTATATTTTATGATCCTCTATAGAGAAGATATATATCCTTTTCTGTGATGATCTATTTTTCCACCTTTGATAAAATATGTATGTTGGTGAACATTTACTATACAGCCATATGTTTAAAACAATTATTATTTAAAAATTACGCTTAGTTTCACATTATGTCATGTTAGTATCTCTTAATTGCTGGTAAGCATTTTGATACAGTTTGTGAGAAAATGTGCTCTATAAATACAATATTTAAGAATAATCACCATTGAATATTTCTTAACTAGCTAAATTAATTATTTAGCATTTAAATTACCAAAAAGTCTATTTTATTTTTTTTTGCCTTCAATATTTTTTTCCTCTGAATAATTTCCCAGAACACAGACTGAAGAATGAAACACATTGTCTCGTGCATCATTCATCAGCAAAATTGCCAGTAGAACTCTAATTTCGTATTCTTTATTACTGATGATGATACAAAACGCAGAACAAAACAGCTTGATTTTCAGAGTAGAGTAAGTTTGAAGCAGTACCAGTTACAGCAAGTTGGCTAAATTTGAAACAGCCATATATGGAAGAGAATAAATGTAGGACACCACAGCATCACTCTTACTAAAATCCTATTCTTGTACTTGAATTGCAATAATGTTTCAAATTAAAAGAACTGAGAATTACCGTTTTGTTTTTTTTTTTCTTCGCAAGTGACAGGAGAAAGAATACGTTTGCTTATTGTATTCCTTTGTGCAGATTTCAGAAGCAGCTCATATGAAGTAAGAATTTTCCATGTCAAAAGGTATTGGTAGGCCTGAAAATGTTCAATCAAAATCACGTACTTTCCAAAAAGGATCTGTATATTAGTCCCTTGGAAAAAAGGAAGGTTAATTCCAGACCACTTTCCAGTACTACTCCAGGTGTAATTTCTACATCTACAGTTCTCCCCTAAAAGATTTGTCTGTTTATAAGATTTGTCTCCAAAGTGTCCCAGACACCAAATTACAGAAGAAAAATTATTTTCCATGGAAAAAGTTGTCTAGTGTTTTAAATCTACCATGAAGCAAGTCAGAAAAATAGTTTCTAGAATCTTTCATGTTTTTCTTTGGAGAACAAATAAAATATTCTAAAATATTCTAAATATTCTAGAATTCTAAAAAGCAAAGATTATTTCCATCTGCCTGTTTTCCCCATTCACACACACTCACCTATATACACGCACATGCATGCACATGTACACGGATAAAAACAGAATAAGAAATGGTGCCATGTTCTTAAAATCTCACCATATTTTAAACGTGTGGGTTTAGTGGTTTTCCTCTTCCTATCATTTATTCTTAACCCAAGCCCTTCCAACTTTCTGTAAATATTTGCTTTCTATGCAGCTTGAGTGAATGTTGGAGTATTTCATTTTCTCTGCTGATTCTTTTGAGTCTGGTATACACTGCTTCAGATATGTGAATTATAAAATATCTCATCAAAGTTATTCAGTAATACAACATAGGTGCTATGCCACAACCTAAAGATAGACAGAAATTGATTGTGCATGATTACACACAGTGTTCTGACACAAACCTTTCAAATGCTGCACCAAGAAGGACGAGCTGGGAAGAGGAGGATAATTACATTCTTTCTTTAGTAAGAGTACATTTCTGCAATGACAGAGCAATTGCAGTCCTACTGCACTATGTAAAAGCTTCCTCAGAAAGCAGGAAAAAAGGGCCTGGAAATTGAAGCCATTCAGTAAATCACTGGATCTCTATTTTTGCTGAAGATTTACGAACATAAGCAAATATAAGATATAGGAAGATTTAGGTAATACAAGCATGCTCAAATTAATTTCATCTCCAATATTTGGAAATATTACTCAGGTCCAAGTGAATTTTCCTTTATTTCTTTAATCAAGAAGTTGTATAGTATTAAGCCTTACATTTGTACACAAACTCACAAACCTTGTTGATTCTTCTACTCAAGTCTTTCATTTCCAATATATGATTATTGTATGCTAGCAATAACTAAGAGGTTTCTTCCTTAAAGTTTACATGGGAACAGAAACAAACCCAAAGAGTCTGAAATTTATATGCATAAATCCTTTAGATTCAGTTGAAGTTAAGTATCTATACACTTCTGTGGATCTGGACACTAAGGATTTTCTATATCCCACAAAAATTTAGTTAGCTAAACATTAGAGATAAAATCTAAGTTACTCATCCAGAGCTTTCTCACACAGCTTGGGGATGAAGAGATGAGGTTCCCAACAGGAACAGCTTTTTCTCCCTCTCAGTTGCTGAGAGATACATTTCTAATTTTCTGATTTTAGCAACAATTACTTAGTTTGAAATAAATGTTAAAAAAAAAAAAAAAAAAAAGAAAACTGTAAAACAACAGCAACAACAACAACAGCAACAACAAAGATTTTGGCCTAGAATTGCTCTGGTCAAGATTTAACAACATGTTCCAGTCTTATGAATAAAAGAAAGGAGATTCTCAAAGGGAGAGTATTCAATACATTTCATCATTTTGTGTCTGGTACTCACAGATGTCACAGCTGAAACTGGAGAATCTAATTGTGACTTCAGATTGCAACTCTAACGAGATAATAACCCAGGCCTGGGCCTAATTCTTAAGTCATCTGCTTGGATATAAGAACAGGAATGAGCAATGGAGTTATCTGAATTCTGTGATATGAAAATTAAACTCTGAATCTTCATTGAATGATTCTAAAAAGATCTATGTTGAAAATCAACCTGGTAGACAAAACAGGCTTGAAACAAGGTCCTGGAACTAAACAAATGTGGCTTCTGTGTACTTATTAGTATAATTTTATGTTCCATTTCTAATATGGATTTTATAATAATATTCCACACGAAACATAGGTCAATTTTCATATACGTGCTGCCCAAAAGGTGTATGAAAGTACATTAAGAAGTTCACATCCTACTTGGAATGACAAGTGAACAGAAAAATATTTTAGTAACTTCACAGCTTCAAATGTGGTGGTGGGTTTCATAATGCAATACAAATGTGTCAATAGAATGCACCAGCAGTAACTAGAAGGGTTTTCATTATTCTTAGCACCTCAAAACCTTCCGTGATCATTGATGCAAGTACCTGCCTTCCTGGGGAAGACATAGTCCCCCTACACCTTCATTTGCTATAAAAGCTAACACACCCGAAAACACTATTTTCTAAGATGCTCATAGATCTTGACCATGTAGAGTTTTCTCATCAATGTACAATCTTAGAGGGTATTGTAGTTCACTCCCTTTCTTGAGGTATGACCAAGCTAACTGGCCAAAATGGAAAGCCATGAAGCCTAGATCAGGCTGCATCCCTCGACTGCTGACCCATGAAGCTGATGGCCATGTCAGTGTTTCCTCTGATGCCCAAATGTATATCTGATCTAAATTCCTCTGCTCAGTGTTCCTTTTCAACTGTTTCCAGGATTCCAGATGGACTTAATTAACAAGGAACATTAGTCCGAAAGTCTGACGTGGAATTAAGACTGAACAACTTTCAGGTTTTGACCCAGAGCTCATATTTATAGGTAGCTTAACTATATTCTTACTTTTTACATTCTATTTTTCAAGAAAACTCCCTTTACGCTTGCTCACTATGCTTCACATGGTCTCCAAAGCTCTGTTAAGTAAAGCGCTGTATAAGTAACAGAGATCAGAGAATGAAGCAGGTGAAATTGCTGGTTTTGCAGCTGTTGGAATTGTTCTTTCTCACCTATTTTCAGCATGACTCAGTTTTCAATCTAATAAAAATCTAAATTTTGAAGGAACAGAACTCCTTGCATTCTCCGGAGAGCAATTTGGACATTATTCAAATGTGACAATAGAGAAAGAAAAGGTATGATTGCCTACACAGTCCCAAAGAAATGAGAAACATGTAATTTTTTTTCGAAAAGTAATTGTCTGATCTAAGCAGTCTTCCTGAGAATACATCACGTCCAACCCACCCCACACTCTGAAATTTGTTTTTCCAAAATCAATTGGATTGCAAATCACAAGCAAGTCTGGCTAAGAGATTTAATGTCCTCAGATAACATTTGCATGAAAATAGTAGATCATTATCTTAATAGCATCAGATAGAAAGAATGTGTATTTTTATAGATGATATTAGCTTGCATTTCTTTCCCAAAGGTGCTAGCATTCCAAAATTAAAGAACACATAATGTAATGTTTTTATCAATTAGAAGAACATGGAAGACATGACTTATATGTACCTTTACTTTCTTAGCTAGACTGAAATCAATTTTTAATATGCCGGGTGATTGGCTCTGAACTGGGATTGGATGGCTCACTGCTGTGAGATGTGTTACAAAAGAAATATCTCTCCTAAGAATACCAACAGTCTTTTCATTGGCATTTCATTCAAATTATTTATGTTAACCTTTTCTCCACGTCTCTTTGAGAAAAACTTGTTGTTTACCCTTATACGTTGAGATTTGGAAAACAGTCGTTTTCTGCTGAATGCTAAGTAGGTCACTGACAAAGAACATGAATGAAGGAATTCATGCATCAGTGTTTGAAACCTCATTAACATCTTCCCTTCTCCAAAGAGCAGGTGTACCTGCTGCACAACAAGTTATGCAACAGTCTGATGGCTCACAGTAAAAAAAATGTTACATGCACTTTGTATCACTGGACTTGTAAAATCCTTGGGTTACAGAAACAAAGGTCTTTTTCTTCCCCATGAATATTATGAAAGGAATCTCAGTACATTTCACAGCTTTATGCTTAATACCTTCCAAAACAATGCCTCATTCCTTTGCACTACAATAAAGAAAACTATAAATTGATTAACTTTTTTCTAATTAAAAATTTTTTTTAAGCTGCCTGAGAGCTAGCAGACCTAGTTCACAACACAGGAATAAATCCACAGGACAAGCTGGATGCAGTCTTTTATGTGCAGACGCCTGTTTTATTGCCCAGCAGAAGTTGTTGTTGCTTCAAGTTAGGCCACAAAACTAGGAATTTGGATCTCGTGACTGCTAAGGTCACTAGTTTATCTTCTACTGATAGATAAATAAAAACGTCCTTCATTTTGACTTGAATCACATTTCTTGTAAGTGAATCCCATTAATTCATTTCTGACTGTAGTGATCAAAAACATATCCTCCTCTTTGTAGCAAGGCTTTCTCTTTTACAACACATTAGCAACAACATTTCATGAATGTCCCAGTGTTCTCCTATTGGAGTTACCACTTTTAGTTTTTATTTGTTTATTTGTAATTTTCCTCACTTTTTATTTATATGCTATATATATATGTATATGTTTATATTCTAACGTTTGTGTGGATGATGTTCTGGGACAATCATGGAATGACATGGATACAGATTTTCAATCAAAAAAGTATTCCAGTATGTCTGCAAGAATCATCATGTTAAAATTACAGAGAATTAAAAAATGGTTTGCATAAATAACAGGAAGGAAAAAAAAAGAGCTGAAGTGGCTATGTAAGCAGCATGATAGAAATGAATGAATCTTTACCTTGATGCAGTAGATGCTAGCAATTTAGCAGTTGTCTTACCTTACAATTGCTTTTCTGAAATGAAGCCATAGTATCATTTCAACTGCTCTTTGCAAGCTGGCTGGAGAATTTTGGTCCAACAGTGTTCAACCACAAGCAGTCCTAAGGGAAAGGTGAATAAATAAATGGTTTTGTCTTTCTTGTCCTTCAGCATGTTATTTTCTGTTCTACACGAAACTTCTGGCTCATATTAGTATCAGTGATTTCATAATATGAACCACATCATACAAGCCTGTAGAAATACTGCGTTTGACAAATTATGGACTTAGACTTCATGTTGAGACTATTTTGGGCTTGACCAGAGCAATGGGTATTGGAAATCTGTCAGCTGTGATTTGTTTCAGGAGATTTCCTGCCCACTATTCCAAAACCTACATTGTGACTTTTACTGCACAATTTCCCCAGACATTTGGATCTCTCCAGAAAAGCAACTGGCTCCCCAAGAGCTGACGTTACTTGAGTGTGTCAGCCTGCATTTCCAAGGGATATGTCGTTGTGCAAGAGCTACCAACAGATGTCAACCTCCTGATTCACCCTAGCAAGTCTGAGTCTTACTTATTCTTCACAATTGCACATGCTAATTCATCCTTTCTCAGAGACAAGCAATAAATGCCCCATGGACATGACTTTAGCTAGTGCAGTTGAGACACCACTGTATTCTGATGGCATAGCAAATGTCTGCTGATCAATACAGAGGAAGGTCTGTAGTGATCACTCACTGCATGCACACATGTTACACTCACTGTTCATTTCCTAGGATCTCCATACTAATGCATGAAGTAAACATTTACAGATGATTTTTCTTTGATTGGGTTATTCTCTCTGTATTGGTAAGATCAGCTACACTTCCCATAAATTTAGATACTTAAGAGACTGAAGCTAGCAGTCAACACATCATTATCCAATGAGATAGAACTCCATTTTCAAAAAGAACTGTAGTAAAATCCCAGCTAATATTTGACTACCAGTGTATTTAGATGGTGAGCATGTTAATGCAAATATAAACTTCACATGCTTGTTCAGCACATGACACAAGAATATGTCTTGGCCTATAGAAGTCATTGACACAAATATTCTATAAAAATTCTTGCCCTTACCAAAGAAAAAGAATTACATAAATAAATTCTGTCAATTTAATTTTGTTTTGTTTTCAAAGATCAACCAGCATATTGCAAAGACAGGAAACACACATTCATACTTTTTTCTTGAGGAACAGCTCATAAAAATGCATATCAGAAAGCTCTTGAAATCCCACTGGATAAACTAGGAATAAATGCAAAAAGTAATCTCAGACTTTTAAGCTTTTCTTGTATGAGTAGTTTTTAAATGGATTCTTTTCTATCATGATCAATAACTGAACTAGCTAACAGAAAATAAAGTAGAAGAATCTAGAGAGGAGATGTAGAGAGGAAGAGGATGAGGAGACCAATTTGAAACGTACAGTTTCAAATGCTCAGTGCATTCTGTATCACTACAATAGTTACTTCACATCGGGTATCCTATCAATAGTTACCTCAACACAGTGCTATTTTTCTTGTATTCTCTATCTGCAAGCTCAATAAAAATATTTTCCCAACCCCTGGAGCACTTTATCTCTGTGAGATGCATTTCAGTAAATTTTTAGTTTTATTATGTCAAAACCATAAAAGAAGACACAAATATTTTGTAATGATACAGGAGTTTCAATGGGATATTTTAAAAGTATCTAGAAAGACACTCTGTGACATTTTTCACACATCTGTATCCTTGCTCCCATCACCCCCAGAAAATGTAAATTACATCCAATGAAGCATTTTCCTCATTTGTTTTGTTGATTATGACTATACTAATAAAAAGGGAGGAGGAAACAGCCTCACTGTAGCAATAGCTGGCTTACATCTGTACTCCTTTGCAAGCTGTAATATAATTTGTTTGGGAGATGTCTGGAGAGGTGTAAAACAGAAAAATAGAATGAGTCAACAGCTGAAGAGTTTATAAACCCTTCAAGCCCAGGGCAATCTGAACTAGCTGTGCATGTCCCTGTTCCTACAGAGGAGTTGGACTAAATGACATTTAAAAGTCCCTTTCATCTCTAAGGATTCTTCGACTCTATGATTCTGAAATTAGAGACCAAGTGATGAGCTCACTTCTAGGCTCTCTTTTACTAACTTATACTCATTAACAACCACACAAACATTCAGCTATTTGAAGAATATTCATCCCATTATATTTGTTAGGTTGGATGCTGATATGTGACCAGACATGCGTATAAATAATTTGATGGGAGTTTTTGTTTGTTTTTGCATTCAAACTGTTTGCTTGATCAGATCTTACTGATCTTATTCATCTCTTGAAGCCACAAAGACTGAAAACGCAATGTCAGAGAGATGTGTTCTGCTTGCATGTAGGCTCAAACAAGAATTATCAGCACCCAACAGGAGAAATTACACCAGTCTTACCTGAATATGTTCTAGCATTCATGGGAAAGCACTGCTAATTCAAAGGGAGGTCTGTAGATTTTATATTTGGTTTTTAAACCTACTGCAGTCTCAAAACTGCTTAAAGTCGATATAATGGCATTTTCTCTGATCATGTCTGAAATACAGATGAAGGATCTCAAATAGATAGATTACACTGATTATGGTGGTAATTTTTACTATGGCAAGAGATAACTTTATTACTTACGTGTGAGAAAGGGGCTACTGGTTTACTGTCATCTACCATTCATCTATACTATCCACATCAAAATGGCTGAATCCAAAACCTTCAGGTGGGTATCTAAATAGAGTAACTTGCTCCTAGTTTTGACCAGGCTCTCCTTCATGATTTATCAACTCTGTCCAGACTCTTCAACTTCAGAGTCATGAGCATGCTCTCTGTCAGAGCTTTATCCCATTTAGATTCCAGTTATAAATACTGGACGTATTAGCTCCTGAGACACAAAAACCCTATGGTTTCCAGAAAGTGGCACTGTGTGGCATGTACTTCCTTAAGATTCAGCACCATTACAAATTCACCCTCATTTATATTTTGATGTTTAATACAGTTAAGATTTTTTCCCTGTAGTCTCCACAAAATGCAAAACTTGTTCCATTTTCTGTTCCTATTTGGTATATATAGGTGTACATACAATATATAAATGTATTCCTAAAATTGAATTTTGTTTACCTGTTCTCCTTCTACCCTCCTTGCCGCTACTCTTCCCTCCCCACATACAGATGTATTGCATTTACTTTATCAGTCAAGCTTGAATTCTAGTGTGGCACCAAAGGAAGAATCCATTTAATCAGTAAAGGAAAGAAATAATGCTTCTAAAGAAGGGTGTTTTTTTTTTCCTATTTAGAAAAGGCTTTTCCCTGGTAAATGCTTCCTCTGGGAGCTTCCCAAATAAAGGCCTTTCCTGAGGCCCAAGTTTCAGTTGCTGAGCACATCTGGCCAGCATTGGTGGTGACATTTACTGGGACATTTTATAGTTTCAGTGGGGAGGGATTTATATCTGTCTATTTAAAAAGATATAATTGAATATTTTTCTATAAACACACTAAAAGAACTGTATGGCATCTATATGGTTTTATATTAAGGTAACTGGCCAGTGGATCAGGACTCCAATAAGATAAATTTATAAAAGATATGAAAATGAAGAAGCAATTTGTCTGACAGCAAATATAAGCTTATATAAGTGTAAAGGTAGGCAAGAGGAAGTGCCTTGTAATCTCATTTACACTCTCACTGGTTTGCCTGCTATAATCCTTCTTTCCATTTGGAAGGAATTAGAGTTACGGATACGGTAGCATATCACTGCAAGTGTGAAATTAGGCATTGACCTGAACTTTGAAGCCTATCCATAGAAAATGCAAGACCTGTGAATGAGTTAGTTATCCAAGTGCCAGTGAATATAGGAGAAGCTCTCCTGGCTTTTATATACTGAGGATCTAGACTTGAAGGTGATATTTCCAAGTGTCTTTATCTTCAGCCTTAATCCACCCATGTTTTATACCTCTGAGACTGCCCAAGTTATGATGCATTGGAAATGCACTGTCTCAAATACATAAATAATTTTGCTGGAAAAAAAAAGTTAGTGGACAATTAATATATAATGAATCAGAAAATACAAAGTTATAAACTTTGGCTCTTAACCTCCAAGACTGCAAGAAAAAGAGAACTTAAAGTGTTAAAAATCAGCTATTATAGCACTACAAAAAACATTTCCTTCTTATTTGGAACTGGATATCTTTTTGACTGCTAAAGTTCTGTCCTCTTGGTGTGACTACTGCTGCTCTTTGGGTGGGTTGTTCCTTCTACCTGACTTTACACTGCCTGTCAAGACTTCATTTCTTATTACTCCTTCTCTCCTAGTTTTGCATAAGGATCAGCCTGCAATGTCTTTCTCCATAAAAGCACTGTTAAAAATGTGGCTGTGGGAGGCTGGCCTCAGAAATTTATTTCGTACATCTCTAGAAGAATTCTGAGTTGGACCAAAAAAACCCACCACCACCACACCACCACCAACAAAGAAAACCTGTACTTGATACCACATCCATTTATTTCCTTTTTCTCAACTCTAAAAACAGACTTTTCCATTTTAATCTACCTCAGGATATTTCATCATCAAATTTGCTATGTGTTTAGGCCAGAATTTCATCATGTTCTTTTATATGCCAAAGAGGACATGCCAACCTGTAACAGCACTGGAAAATTTGGGCTATCTTAATATCAGATGAAAATAGCTGTAACTTCAGTTCAGCTTGAGTTCTATGCCCATGGCCAGACTGCCCTGTCACTGCTCTGCCTGCATCTTGGCTCAGTCTTCACCTCGCACTGAGAAAAAGCCAATGGGCTCTCAGGTACAGAGTCTCAGGAGCAATGGACAATTTTAGCTGTGCTCTTATCAGCTCCATATAACTTGTATAAAACTCCCATGTTTAAGAAATCACTGCACAAATACAAAGCCATTGCAAATGAGTAGAAAAAATCTGTTCGTTTCTTTTTTCTTTTTGAATTTAAACAATTTAACAGATGTTTCACAGAGTGAGCTAATCTACTTTTGAAAATGTTTGTATCTTCTTCCCCATTTATTCTTGTGTATCATTTTAGTTACCTATGCATTCTTTCATCT